GGACACAAAATGAATTAACTGAGTAAATTTAACTTTAGCTCCACAATTTCTGTGATAGGCCATGCTGACTGTGGAGTTTGAGGAGCCACATGATGAACAAACAATGGTTATAAAGAAATATTGTTCATAGAAACTTAATATCTACATACTTTTTAGCATCACATAATAGATTTCTACAACAAACAGCCATAACGTTCCTGTGTATACCTCCATAGTATGTAAATTTCAGGAAATAATGGAGAGTAACTGAAGAAGGAAGTAGTTGAGAATGAAAATTGTGGTTGCCATGGGATAATGCTCTTGTTCACTGTGAAGATTTGTCACTCATATTGGCTTAATAAAATGCTGATTGACCAGTACTCAGGCAGGAAGAATAGGTGAGGCTACCAGACTAGGAGAATTCTGTGAAGAGAAGAGGTGGAGATGCAGTCACCAGCCAGACACAGAGAAATCAAGATGAGAATACCTTACTGAGAAAAGGTACCAACCCTTGTGGCTAAAAACAGATAAGAATTATGTGTTAATTTACATTGTAACAGCTTGTTAGTAATAAACCTGAGTAATAGGCCAACAAATTTATGATTAATATAATCCTCTGTGTGTTTATTTTGGACTAAATGGTTGCAGGACAGGGCAATACAGAAACTTCCATCCACAGATAGTGTAGTGAAATGATTTACACAGAAAATTCACAAGCAGAAATTTGTCTACACAAAAAGATATGGTGGGTCATGAAGTATCTGGAGCAATAGGACTGCTGTAGGCTTATTTTATGGAAATACTCGCTAGGAAAATGAATTGTAAAAGTACAAAGAATATATGGATATATCTTGTAAATAGAAGATAAGGCTAAAGTTGCAAAGCACTATACCGAATATGATAGAATCTTACAAAATTGTGTATCTCCCCCAAATACTCCCTATCTACAATTTTTATTTTGTTTCTGATGAATTTTTGAAAACATTTCAAATGCAGATCATCATAATTATAATTAAATCCATTGTCACATGCCCTTAAATTTTCCATTTTCTCTAGAAAAGAGAATACTTAAGAGGAGATATCAAGAAGCAGCCCTGAATTTATGCATCAGTTATTATTCTATACAGAATGAGACTCATTAGAGATAATGCAGAAAACAGGATTTATTACTGAGAACAATCATACAGAGAAGATTCCATAGAGTCATTTGCAAAAGAGTGTTTTCCTTGTCTCTTGTTGGACTTACTATTCCTTTGTTAGATCAGCATTAAAGAAGAGGATTTGGAAGTTGGTGAGGATGAATAGGATTTCATAATAAAACTATTAGCCTAACTGGGATGCTGAAAGAGAACTCAGCAGTTAAGGGTACTCACTACTCTTGCATAGTACTTGAGTTCTGTTCCAAGCACCCACATGGCTGCTCATAAGTTATTTAACTATTGTTCTAAAGGTTCTGATGATTTTTTCTTGCTTCTGTAGGCTAAGTGCACATTTGGACTGCACATGCATGCAGGAAAATACTCATAAGCATGGAACAAAAATAAACAAAATATTACAAACAAAATCTTACAAACCAACACATTCAAGGAAACGGGTATCCAAGATAATAAAATACCACCTATGCTCATTTCAGTACCTATAAACTTGATGCTCTGAATAAAAATTGAAAAGATGACAATGTTATAACAACTGGTCTCAAAGATTTTGCTAGGTTTCCTATCCTTAGCAACTGATTGAGAAGAAATTTAAAGAAACTTTCATTTTGAAGATTCTCAAGTCAAAGAAAAATAGTCCAACATCAACTTCAATGGAGAGAAACTAGAGGCAATTACACTATAATCAGAAAAAAAGAAGACAAAATCATCTATTCTCTCCATATCTATTCAATATAGTATTTGAAGTCTTAGATTAAAACATGAGAAAACTGAAGGATAATTATGTATACAAATTAGAAGTGAAGAATCCAAAGTATCTTTATTTCTGATTATGTAATAGTACATATAACTGGCTCTAAACACTCAATTATAAAACTTCCACAGCTAATAAACACTTTCAGCCAAGTAGCATGGTACAAAAATAAACTCTCACACACTTAACACACATGCACACACAAAAAAACCAAACTAAAACAAAAGAAAAACAACAATAGCGACAACAACAAAAAAAGTAGTCTTCCTTTATAGAAATGACAATGGACTAAGAAACAAGTCAGGGAAACAACAATTTTCACAGTAGCCTCAAATAATATAAAATGCCTTGCAGTAACTCTAACCAACCAAGTGAGAGACTTATAAAATTTTAAGGCACTGAAGAAAGAAAATGAAAATGATATATGATTATAGAAAGATCTATCATGCTCAGAATCAGTAGAACTAATGTAGTAAAAAAAAAAAAAAAAAAGAGTATCCTAACAAAAATAATCTACAAATTCAGTGCAATTACCATCAAAATTTGAACACAATTTTTTACATATCTTGAAAATGCAATTTCCAGCTGCACACACAAACACTCCAGATAGCTAAAATTATCCTGAATAATAATGTAACTGCTGGAGATATCACGATCCATGACTTCAAATTGTACTAAGAACTATCTAATAAAATCATCCTGGTATTGACGAAAAAACAGACATGTTGATCAATGGAATTAAATTGAAGACACATACATAAATACACATCTATGGACACTAGTATTGCTAGTCATTGTGGTCTCATGGTAACGTCATAACATCTCAGGCTCTCCCCAAGATTGTGGGTGGTTCTCTAAAAAGTAATTGCAAGTCTTTATTGATGACACCAACAGAACATACTGAACACTGAAAAGTTGAGCTGGCTGCTAGCTAGAGCTTTTGCTCTATAGGATAGTGTTCTTGGTGCACAAAGTTATTTGGTAAGCTACCAAAAGAGAAAGGTAAATAGCAACCCAGACACAAACCTGAATCTATAATGATATCCTGGCTGCAAGATATGCTACTTTAGTGGTGGTGCAACACTTGTGAAAGTAACAAATCAATACTGATTTGACTTAAGGCACACTCCACAGGAAGAACTCGTACTAAATACTACTTGGGTGACCAAGGACCTGAGATTAGATAGCCCAGGCATCTAGAATAAAGCCAATTACTACTATTCTATTAATAAGGAACATAGCAATAAAATTACATTCTGCTACACATATAGATCAGTTCTTGCTCAGCACTTATGACATATGCTTCCTCCTGCAAAAGATGAAAACCAATGCAGAGATCCCCATGCAGACAATATGCAGAGTGAGAAACCTTGGAATTCTCAGCATTAAAAGTTATGTCTACAATGAATCCTTCCCTTTAGGTCTCAGGAACCCTATGGTAGAGAAGACAGAAAGAGCCAGAGTGGATGGAGGACATCAACAAAACAAGGTCCTCTAAATAAGTCTGAGTTTGACTCCTAGCAAGTTGTCAAACTAGACATGATTGCTGACAGTTGCAACCCTAACAGCTGGGTGAGGAGGAAGATACAGTTTCATGTTCATCCTCCACTACAAAGAGAGTCAAGGACATTTAAAGATAACTATGCTCTACCACAAAAGCTAACTAAAATGTTTTGGTACTTTAAGTCATTGGGTTTATTTGGGAGACATTAGTCAAAATAAGAAAATGCTCACAAAATAAGAAAACACTCTAACATAGCATATGGAGTTATGCATTTTTGGAGATATTTGGAGAAAATATTCCACAAGAATCTGTTGACTGAGAGATACCATATTCTTAATTGGTTCATTGTACATAAGTAGGAAAGATTACATTAACTCTTAAGAGGAAACCTAGATTTTGTGTTTTTATCTATTTTAAAATGTATAATGTTTTGTCTTATGTTACTTTCCCAGCTGTCATACTGGTGTCCATGAGTTCCCACTTGCTCAGTTCAGCTGTGGTCTTGACCCCTTTGTTCCTTATTCCTCCTTCCTTACAATTGGATTCCAGGGGTACAGCTGAGTGCTTAGCTGTGAATCCCTGCTTCTGCTTGTATCAGCTACTGGATAAAGGCTTTTGGATGTCATTTAAGGTAGTCATCAATCTCATTATAGTGGAAGGGCATTTAAGGTAGCCTCTCCACTATTGCTTAGATTCCTAGTTGGGATCATCCTTGTGGATCTCTGTACGATTCCCTAGTATTAGATCATTCTTTAAACCTATAATGGCTTCCTCTATTGATATGTCTCTTTTCTTGCTCTCTTCTATTCATCCCTGGACTCAATCGTCCTGATCCCTTGTGTCCTCCCCCTCTCATTCTCTCCCCTCCTCTTTCTCCTAACTCCCTCCCTCTTCCCCCATGCTCCCAAATTATTCCGAAGCACTAGTCCCTTTCCCCTTCAACAGGGGACCATGTATTTCCCTCTTAGTGTACTCCTTCCTTCTCTGATGGTGTGGATTATAGGCTGCTTATCATTTGCTCTATGTCTAATATCCATATATGAGTGAATACATACCATGTTTGTCTTTATTTGACTGGGTTACCTAACTTAGGATGGTTTCTTCTAGTTCCATTCATTTGCCTGCAAATTTCAAGATTTTATTGTTTTTTTTTTCCTGCTGAGTAAGTACTCCATTATGTAAATGTACCACATTTCCATTTTCTATTCTTAAGTTGAGGGGCATCTTGCTTGCTTCCAGGTTCTGTCTATTACAAATAATGCTGCTATAAACATATTTGAACAGGTGTCCTTGTTACATGAATGTGCATTCTTTGGGTATATGATTGCTGGATCTTGAGGTAGACTGATTTCCCATTTTCTGAAGAAAGCACCATATTGATTTCCAAAGTCGGTGTCAGTGAGGAGGTCTGGACAGTCTATGGGGCCTCTGGCAATGGAACCAACATGTATCCACACTGCACGAATAGATTTCAGGAGCCCATTCCCCATGGAGAGATACTCTCTTAGCCTAAATACATAGGGGATGCCCAAGGCCCTGCCTCAAATGACTTGACAGATTTTTTTTTGATGATCCCTCATGGAAGGCCTCACCCTCCCTGGGTAGTACGTGGGGAATGGGATGGGGGGTCCATGGGGTTCATGAGAAGATGGGAGGGAGAGGGAACAATGGGAGGGAGAGGGAACAATGATTGATATGCAAAATTAGATTGTTCAAATTTAAATATAATTTATAAAACAAAAATTGTGTAATGTTTCAAATTAACCTAAAGTCTCCTAGGATATTTCTAAAGAATATGTCTGAGTGTATCTTTTGTGAAGGACTAGCCATAAAGAGATAAACTGACAGGGGAGAGTCACCCTGAATGTGGGTAGATACATCCCATTCTGTAGGCAGACTGGAAAAAAGAAAAAGCAAAGAGGAGAAAGTCAATTTAGAGTCTTTATGCACCCTCTCTACATCTGGACCATCCATGGCATGAACTGTTATATAGTATCATGCCCTCTCTACTCTCTGAGACAGGTATCTCTGATGTCTTGACTCAAAACAAATGTTTTGCTCTGAATTTGTTTATTTTATATACATTTTAAGGTGACCAGCATCATGCTAAACAGTTATCCTTATAGCTAAAATTAGATATGTGTATATGTCTGTGCCTGTGTTTGTGTGAGGAGTACACACACACACACACACACACACACACACACACACACACACACACACGCATTATATGCACATTTAGTGATGGTACCTTTAAAAAATCTTTCATATGCTAGAGAACAAACTCCTCACAAATCATTTTCAGATTGTGTGTAGAAACCTACAATTTGTTATAAAACAGTGGCAAGATCTTAATTATAACAGTGCTACTGGGCACCATTAACCTCCTTCAAATACATTTATGCTGAAGACAAGATAACTGCAAGGTATCAGTTTGTTAAATAAAGACAGGTGTTTCCTAGTCCCCTCTGGTGTGCTATCTACTGAAGAAATATTGTTTTGAAGCAGCCAAGATGTAAAAGGGAAGTAAATTTGTTGGGTCAGTTGAAGACCCACTGAATGTTGTAATAAAGCAAAGTTGTCTTTTCACAGCTGAATGCAAACAACATTTACAGTGGGTCCCTTACAAGGATCTGAGCATGTTAACTTTCTTCCTTTGGTTAACAAAGGAGCAAACAGAACAACAAGATTGATTTCAAGATGTGCACATGCTCTCATGGCCATGCATAAATTTACATTCCTAAGTGAATGTTTTGTGTGCATGCCAATGAGTTTAAAGTGCATTGGGTACTGGAGTTGCAAGCACAACAAACTGGGGAGAGGCTTTCATTTTCCCATTTGTAAAATGCCTCTTGAAATATCTAGGCAAATGCATTTCTTCTACATCGACTATATCCTAATTAAAAAGCATGTTTTTGCCAGGAACGAGGAGATTATTTTAGTTCTAATCTAAACATAAACATAAAATCCATCACAAGAACCCACATTGAGAAAAATCTGGATGAGGCAATGAAACTCATGATCCCAGCACTGAAGAAATGGAAATGGGCAGATTTCTGAGACTTACTAGCCAATCAACCTTGCTTACTTGGTAAATTCCAGGCCTGAGAGGAACCCTGTCTCAAAGAAAGGTCTAAAGTGCCCACTGTCCTTCACATGTGTGCACAAACATGCATGTCCACTCTCACATATACACACATGCAAACTGAGACACAAGTATACAAACACACATGTACATCTATATACTCATGCACATAAACACACAGAATATAAGGCCAAATATAATTTCTAGGTTTACCAGGACTTTAATCATATTTCTGTCTTGATATAACCACTTACATTGGAAAGAAAAATGTAGCATTGAGAAGGACATGGGATTTCTACTGAGATAATTTCTTTTACTGACCTCTACAATCCTGAAAGAATGATTTGTGTCCCCCTCTCCAATCCCCAAAACAGAAAACTAAGGACTTTTTTTCCCTTTGAATTCCTTTTGCAAAGACTTTCTTGTAACAAACTCCAAATCTGATGAAATTGAAAATATCTTATGCCTGATGCTTAGTTTGAGCAATATCTTGACTCTTTTTACATCAGGTGCATGCATTGTTCCCTGGGAAGTAGGTGACATGCTTGCATTTTCTTGTATAACTTCAATATAGCCATTTCTCCCTGGGCATGGATTTATAGAAATTGATGACTATGTGTGGAATCATAATATGCTTTTTAAAAAAGAAAGACATTGTCTTTTACAAACTTTTTTTGTTTAATTTTTGGACTGAGCTGTTCTGTGTTGCCTGGATATTTTGGGGCATGCACTGACTCCAAGTATTCATTTTTCATCAGCCTCCCAAGCATGAGAAGCATACCAATTAAAGCAGTGAGCCATCAAACATCTATTCAAGACATACTCGAACACTTTCCTCCTTATCAAATTTGGGAAGGTAGGAGGCAAGATGTCTTCAGGATACAACACAATCTTGGAGATTGTGTGTTTAGTATCAATAGAATTTGTAGAAGTCAATTTTAAAAAGTTTATTCTTTGTGTTTGGGCAGCTAATTATAGTAAACTTTGATCCCAAATTAATACAACAGAGAAAAATGGTCACAATACTTCCAGGAGCCCATTTCCCATGGGGGATTACTCTCTTAGCCTAGATACACAGGGGAAGGCCTAGGCCCTGACCCAAATGACTTGACATATTTTAATAATCCCTCATGGAAGGCCTCACCCCTGGGGAGTGACTGGGGGATGATGGGATAGGGGAGTAGTTGGGGCTTATGGGAGAATGGGAGGGCTCGTGAACTGGTGATTGCTATGTAAAATATATTGTTTCTAATTTAAATGAAATTTATATAAAAAATAAAAATAATTACAATAATTTCAATCTATAACACTTTCTAAATTCAGGACCATTGGATAGTAGAAATGAATACCTAAACAAATCATACCTAGGTCACAGTTCCTGGTATGTTTATAGACAGCTAAGTGCACTCTGTCTTTATTGTTGCAACAAATTAACCCAAATTTAGAAGGAGAAAATGTCTAAGCTACTCATCACTGATTGTATCAACCTGTCATTTTTTTTCTGCAACTGGGTATTTGGAGAAGTGTCTGTTTACACGTGTGTGTGTGTGTGTGTGTGTGTGTGTGTGTGTGTGTGTGTGTGTGTGTGTAATTATGGAAGAGAGAAGCTGTCCATAAACCAGGAGATTTCTCCTGCTTCAAATATTCTCCTTTCAAACATAACCAATCTGTCATCTGGTTGGCATTGCTTCATACATCTTAAATATATTTTCTTTAAAATATAACAAGAGAATTTCAGACTATAAACATAAGGCTCTAGAACCTGAATGATTGAGCCATATTTTTAGCACCATTCTGCAGAACTAATTTCTATTTTGAGTTAGTTTTGAGTTGATGTAAATTGCAAATGAATAATTAGATTGTATAAGAGTTCCTCTTATTTCACTGCTTGAACTACGATTAGACAAGGGCTTTTTATTTATAACTTAGTCTTTGTAATACTTAGGGGCATATTCCAGTTTGTTTTATTTGTGTTACTGTTGCTTTCATTTAAGATTAAATTTTGGTTAAAAATGTAAAGTATATTTTCCAATGCATATTATACAGTTTTACTTACTGATGAATACTTTTTAGAAACCTTAAGTGCAATTGTGGATATGTGATAATGACTTTTATGTTCCCTTGGGCACAAAACCTATTTTCCTTGAAATGTCTTCCTTCTTATCTTTCTCCTGTTTTCATTGTTGCTGATGTACTGTGTTTTCACTCACAATGAACAGATTAATTTTGCTTTAATCAGTTTTTTCCTACAGCATAGTATAAGTTCTCATGAGTCACTTAGAATACATTAGGCATTATGAATAACCTAAAGACAATCTAAAGAATACAGAAACACATACATATATACACCCACACACTCGTGTGTGTGTGTGTGTGTGTGTGTGTGTGTGTGTGTGTGTGTGTATCCCGTTATGCATACACTAAATACTAGTCTACATAATGGTTATCAGGATCCAGGGAGCTTTGTATATTCATGGATATCTTGCAGCCAACTCCCAACTAAAGGACAACTTTGTAATACATTATCCAGAAAAGAGATGGGAAGTGGAGAAAACAGGGGACTGAGATTTCCACTTGATTAGTTATGCTATGGTTCCGGCTGACTGCAAATACTTTCTTGTATTTCCTCCCCCAGATATGAACTGGAACCTTACATTTGTATTTATCATATGTAACATATGTGTTAATTCTGCGTACTTATCTGAGAAATACATATTTCTATGGTTGTATATTGTTAATTGATTTTCCAGTTTAGTTTTGGAGTAATAAAGATCAATTGCTAATAAATATACTGTTGAAATATGTAAGATTTTTCAATCCATACACCATCCATTGGTATTTTGATATCCATATCATCATAGTCTACAGCATGCCCAACATGCCAGGCTGAGTCTAAAGCTTTCATTGCTTTTTTTTAATCTTTTTTTCATTTTGAAAAATGTATACATATATCACAATTAAATATCATATATACCCTCAATTTCCCTCCAAATGCCTCTATAGATGATATCATGTCCTTCCCAATTGTTTTGTTCTATCCATCCATCTATCTATCTATCTATCTATCTATCTATCTATCTATCTATCTATCATCATCATCTATCTATGTAATCCATTTTTGATATCTAAATTCAGTTAGAGCTGCCCTTACATGCATAGGTATGGACCCATCTATTGGAACATGAGAAATGTCCTCATGGCTGCGTCCTCAGAAATAAATGATTGTCCCTCCCTCAGACACCATCCACTACATATAGCTCCTCTGAAAGGGGTGGGACCTGAGGATAAACTACCCCATCTACTTCAGGATTTTGGCAGCTAAATCCCCACTACCCCCTCACTCAAACCCTGGCTATAATCTCTTTATACTTTCCTGGTTTCTGTGGTTACTTCATGCTCCATAGGCACTTCCAAGGATTTGGAGCTAGGAGCTGTGGATGAGAGAGAATATTTAGTGTTCATATTTCTGAATCTGTGTTACCTCACCATATATAAATCTTCCTAAGCCCAACTATTTGTGAGCAAAAGTTTCAATTTTCTTTGTAGATGAATAGTATGCCACCATGTCTATCCAAATGTTCATTATCCATTTATGGAGTTGATGAATATTTAGGTCTTTGCATTTCCTGTCAATTGTGAATAAGGTGTCACTGAACATTTTTGAGCAAATATCTGTGAAGAATGACAAGTATAGCTGTGTCACATGAGAGACTTTAGTATTTAAAGGATTTTCCACACTGATTTGCATATTGAATGCAGCAACTATAAACAGTTAACTTTACAGTTGGGAGCACTTTTAAATGATACCTTTATCAAATACAGCTTTATAAACATGACTATTCCTTAGACTTCTTATACAGCTGAATAACTAATTTTAAAACCTAAGTCATAAAGGTTAAAAATGTGAAACTGAGCTACAACCTGAAGCCATAAGTGTTAAATTCTATACATGACTCCAAAAGGTTTGTCACCAAGTTCAAGTTCATTCAAAGTAGTGTATAAAAATTTAAGCTATGTAAAGGACATGCATGAAGCATAAGGGGGCTCCCATAAGATAGCCTTTTTATAAATATGCTGACAATCTAAAATCCAAAGCACCCTGAAATCTGAAGACTTTATATTTTAAGACACCAAAAACACTCTGTCTCTGTAATTGCTATAATTCTTTCTTTTTTGTTTGGTTTTGTTGTTTTTTATGCATACTTGTTTTTTTTTTCTCCCTTAAGCATTTTACTGACCTCCAGAGAAAAATTTTACTCCATATGTATCATTATTCCAACTGAAATTAGACATAAGTACAAACAAAAGCCTCTTCAACTTTGGATTTTGTTTGAAGCATTATTTAAATTTTCCGGGGAAATGAGGACCACTTTGATACTTAGAGGAAAAAAAAATCACATTCCACTCTCAGATCCCAAACTAGGGTGACTGATGAGGTAACTTCTTGTTGTTGACCACTCTTTGGGCGCACTTTGTTTATAAATTCTTGACAGCTAAACCACTCCAACTCATGTCTCACAAGACCCCGCCACTCTTCCTAGAAATTAAAGTACTTCAGAGAAAATTCTGTTTTTTATTTGGACTAAGAAAAATTCTGAACACATTGCAGAGTTCTGAAGAATACACATGCCAGGACCACTTGCTTCAGCAGAAAGAAAACATCTGTGCTTCCTGATGTGTTCTGTTTCTCTGAGAAATGATATCCATTGTCCTATCCAAATAAATTGTGATGATCTGCTACATAAAAGTTGATATTACTCCCAATAGGCAAACAAGAATCTAGGATTTGGGTGAATAAACGGTGTCCAGAGTGCTACACATGGAGAAACTAAACTGTGGAAATTGTGTTAAGAAATATTTTTTCATAGCCCTAATTGTAAAAGACACCTAACAAAGTTGGGTATTGGTTCTTATGGTATGCTTCCATGCACTCTCAAAGGTTTGAAAAGAATGTGCTTGTTCAGTTTCCTCCTTATATTTTCAAGAAAAAAAGTAGTAACAGCATCACTTTATCGGTTCAGAAATTCAATTGTCAGTGTGTGCTGCTTCAGGCTTACTATATTCCCATGTCCTCTCCCAAATGAATTTGGTACACATTTTTACTCTTGGGGTAGTCATTCTTATATCTGTTGTTTGTGGAGTGATGACATTTGAGCTGTAACTAATGATTTGGTGCACCAACGTTGCCCTGGATTCTTAAATAAATCTTGTTTTTATTTTTCTTATTTTCCCTTTATATGCTCATATTGGACCACTGTGTTCAGCCAAAGGGCTACAGATCGATGAAAGGAAACAATTGTAAAAATCATAGATAATAACAATTATTTAACATTGCAATAAATTTCTGTAAAATAAGTACTTAAATAACTTTGTTTTTGTGGTGTGTGGGGGTGGGTAGTATACGTCTGAGAGCAATGTATCATGTTCCATTAATATTGATGTGGAAAGCAGAAGTTGATATAAAGTTATATTTCTCAATTGCTTCTCTAATTTTTCAAACAGTCATATCTTTTATTTTCTCTTCTGTTCACAGTTTGATACAGATACATATTACAAACAAAACTCAGTTAAGATTTCAGTATTACTTCCTTCCCTTAATTCATTATTTGGAATCAATTGGTTATTATATTTGTTTTAACATATACTTTCATTCTTTCATAATTTCATAAATGCATACATAGCGTTATGATTATGTCCACATCTCACAATCCCCTCTAACTCTTCCAAATTCAAACTCCTGTCCAGCCCCACTTTATGTTCTTTTATTAAAATAACTAAATAAATCCAAAAGTACTATTATAAAAATTCTCACGAATATGAAACTACCCACTGGTGCATGATCAACGTATGCCAGGACACACCCCTGAAGAAAGCTGATTCTACCTCTTCCAGGTGTCATCCATTGCCAAAAGCTTCTCTGCCAGGGAAGGAGCCTAATGAACAGCTCCTTTGTCTGTGTTTATCAACTTGAGCTTGTGCATGTCTTGTTCAGGCAATTACAGAAGCTGTAGATTTATGAGGGCAAGAGAAGACAGTTTTTGTAGCAATCCTCCCTAATGTCTGGAACAGACATTATCTTTCATTGTACTTGGAGCTGGTTAGTTGTCCGGACAGCAAGCCCCAGAGATCCAAATCTCTCTTTCATCACTTATCACCATTCTCATTTCCATGACTGAGTTGATATGTACTTATTGCCACACGCAGCCTTTACATGAGTTTTGGGGATCTGAACTCAGGTCCTTATGCTTATACAGAGATCAATTTATCTACTGAGCCTTACCGCATATCACAAAGTTTTAAAACTAACTTTTACAGAATTTGAACGTACATGTGTGAAATGAAGTGTATTGTGACTACTGGATCTTCTACTCTAATGACATTTTAATATTCTCTAGCTCCATGCTTCCTTTGATACCAGTGTCTTTTCCACATTCACATCTGAGCCTAACCCACTGAGTTGAACAAAGTCATTCATGTAACTATGTTCATTGGCACTTGATGGACTTATTAGTGGGTACCCAAATAGGTCAAGCAATACCTCTTGCCAAGAATCCTTCAGAAGAGTGCAGTGGGGAAGAGAAGGGACCTGTGAGCTCCTCCCAAGTCCACAGCTGACCGTTGGTAGGTCCAGTCTTCTAGAGAGTCTTCGGAGGGATTCTCAGCTGCTGGGAAATCATAATTGAATTAACTCTGCTACACCCAGAAAACCTTTCACAGCTATCTTCTAGCATTTACATTCTTCATCACATGATCAGCAATGACTCTGACCATTATAAGGAGTGATAAAATGTCCTGTTTAGGGCTCGGCATTCAACCATAATTTATACTCAGTACCTTGGGCAGCTAGGGGTGTTTGTATTCTCTTCCATTCACAGCAAAGAGAAACTTCACTGATTAAAGTTAGCAGTAGTATTTATTTATGACTATAAACTATTTATAAAGCACCTTGACACCATGGTAATTTAGCTAAACAACTTTGTTAAGTTTTCCCCTAAGGCTTAAGCCATAGGTTTTTGAATGGTTTTACAGGACCAGGCATAAATTCCCTGCTGCTGAGTGAGGCTCAGATTCAATCAGAGTGGCTGTTTACCTCATAATAGCCATGCCACTATTTGCACCACTTGGGATATCTTTCTTGGCAGGTTGGTATTGTAGTTTCTAAGTTTCATAGCTGAATCATACTGTTGAAGCCCTTTTTCTCCCAGCATCTTGTATAGCACATTATGCATTATGATAGGTAGCTGGCCAGGAGGATCCACCAGCTCAGTACCAACTTAATTTTCTATACTTTTTCAATAAATAAGAGTTGTATCTTCAGCAACATGGTCTTACTAACTAATTCAAGTAGGAAACTAAGAAAAAGTAGCAAAGCCTTTATTGTATGTGGGAACCTCTGGGACCTCTAAGCAATGTGTTATAATTTTAATTGCATGTTTAATGACTGGAGATATAAATACAGTGATAATACTCGAAATACCTTTATTCAGAATAGGCATCCATTCAATGGGTGGCATGTTGTTCTTAAGTTGCATAAAGAGTAGTGATAAGTTACATTTCCATGATGGAAAGATGGCTTAAGGAGGTGTAAACACTTGCCACAAGACTGAGAAACCGAAGAGGAAAGAATTGACTTCCTCAAGTTATCTTCTGAATTCTACACTTATGGGTATCCCACATACACACATACAGAAACACACAAAATAAGATACATAATATATGAAAGTGAAAGCTATAAATAAGCAGATTATCAATATATAATGTGTATCTATTACATGTATAAATTTGATTTTAATAATAATATTTCTGTACTTCTCAATTTTGGTATTTTCAAAATAATGCAAATGCAAAATAGACTTAAGTTCATTTTCTAAAGGCAAATAATCCTATACTATTTACTGTAGGAATTACATGAGTGATTTATTCTATCATTTATTGGATACTACCAGTCTCTTAAATTCCACTACATTTTAGATAGTAAGCAAGTTACAGGAGATCACCTGAACAAAGATGTTTGCTTTAATAAGCCTAACAGCACTGCTAATAATGATTAATATTTTCACTGATGATTTTTTATAATATACCTAGCCTATTCCTATGTTTTTTCTTTTTCTCCTTCCTCATCTTCATCTCTCCTTTCATTCTTTCCTTCTTCTTCCTCACTCCCTCTTCCTTGTTCTTGTTCTACCTGTGATTAATTATTAAGTTTTATGCCCTAAAATATTCTACTCTAAGTGAATTTTAATCTATGTCCTCTAAAAGGTATTGAAGGGGTTTGTATTGGAGCATTAAGCTATTTGACTTCCACCAATGAATTAGAACCAGATACTGAATTGTACATAGACTCTTCATTATCACTTAAAGTGCCTTCCACCCAAAAGTAGCTTAATCCTGATGAATTTTTGAACTTTATTTCTAGAGATGACATTTATTTTTCTGCATAACTCTATAGTATTTGAAGTTGTTTATATATTGCTGTATTAACTATGAAGGAAGCTGTGTTTCTGTTAACAGTGCCACAAATAGTCACATTTCTGATAGAAAATAATGATATTGCTCTATGAAATGTCATAAAATATGTATGAAATGCAAAACATACAAAATATGACACATTTTAAGGAAACCAATATTCCTTCTTCCTTAGTTAAATCTCCTTGTTGTTAGCCGGTTCCTTTGATTGTTGCTTTTATTCAGATACATTAATTGATAAATGAGGAAAGAGTTGTATATATCAATTTCTATTTATTCAGATAATCTGCCAAGCCATTCAAGTTCATAAACAGAGATGTTATGTTATATGACATTATATTATATTATATCATATATACTATATTTATGTTTCCCCTGTACAATAATATTCAATTTTATCATTATATCATGCAGAGATCTTATTTCATAGTTTTCTGGCATATGCATAGGCAATAGTTTTACTATGTTCTATTGAGGACAAAGCTATTATTTCCAAAATTAAATATTTCTTAATTAAGCCCACAGAATATTAAATCACCCTCAAGAACTCAGAACAACACACCTAAATGGTTGTTCACTACAATTTATGTTTCATGTTTTCCAAAAGCCACTTTAAAACATACATGTCCTGCTTTTGAAACACCTAGACCTTTCTTCACAGGTGGATGTAGCCAAGGTTTATAAGAACAGCCTATGCTGGTTAATGTTGGCTTCTTAAAGAAAAAAAAAAACAAAGGTGTTATTCTTCTAAAAAATCATCTCTTTCTGATGTTTAACTCAGCATATGTCCATAAAGCATGAACTCTCAGTTACCTATGATAGGATATGACACACTATGCAGGATGAAGCTCTAAAGAGAAATAAAGAAACCATACAAACATGCATCAAGTCAAACATTAAAATTGATATTTTAAAAAGACATACTAGAGTCAATGCAGAAAATGTGGAGATAAGTCACCATATGAATAATTCATTTTTATCGATTGAGGTTGATAGTCAATTTCAGAAACCCCAGGGGAGGGTCACTTCAGTAAGCCATCAGCCCTACTCTTAAGAATGCTCTTTTTCAGAACCCCCAGGGGAGGGTCACTTCAGTAAGCCATCAGCCCTACTCTTAAGAATGAGCACTCAAAATGTGAGCAAATATAACAGCTATGAATACACAAGAAGCAGCTTAGCTTTCCTCCAAGGACGCCTTGCCATCCTCGGGGAGCTTTTGACTTCGAAGAAAAGGAATGGCACGCTATCAACATTGAGAAATGCCACACCATTTTACATTTTGGAATAGAATGTATCATTGGATTGAAAGGAAATCCCTGATAAGGGATTTTGCTGGAAAGGATTTCATTTGGCTGCTTTGTGTTGATGACAGCTGCTTCTGAGAGTGAAGTCTTGCTCTCCCCTCTGACCACAGGAATCCTCCAAGTAGAGCTGGCAGCCACAGAGAGTCACAAGGTTTATTCCCTCAAGTCGCTGGCTGCCAGATGTGGCTCTGAAGGTAACATTACTCCTCAATGCAGCATTTGCTTTGGGGTTCTGATCGACAAAATCTGTGCTACATCCTATCCATTGAGGGGAGAAGCATTTGCTTTGGGGTTCTGATCGACAAAATCTAGGCTACATCCTATCCATTGAGGGCCAGATAAAACTGTGGTGCCCAAGAACAGGCAACCACAAATAATCCATTTTGATAATGTAATGTAGCAATATCAGACTTATCTGGCTTTTTAAATGTTATGATCTTTTTAAATATTCCCTATCTCATACTATAACCTGGAAAGCCAGTAAATACTAGCATTTTTGTGAAGATACAAACAACAAAATATTTACTTTCGATAGCCTAATAGATAAAGTAATAATGAACACAGATGTTTTGGTGTTATTCTGTGTACATTTCATTTGTTGTTAATTGAATTTATACAGGATGTTGATAATAAAATATAGGAATGGAATATTTATCAGGAAATGAACAATTGAAAGAAAACCGATTAGTATTTCCAAAAACAGAAAGAAGGAAAGAAAAAAGGATTGAAAGAAAGAAATGAAGGAAGGAAGAAGAAAAAGGAAAGGAAAGGAAAAAAGTAATTTGCTGTGCTGCCTAGAGGTGCAGAGATTCACTTAGGGGTAGAAAAGAATAAATAATTACCTGCAAGAAATAGACATGAGAAATAGGATTATAACACAATGACTGTGTGAAATCGGAGGTTTTCATATTTCATGCATTTGATTCAAAAGAAAAGGTAGTATCGTGTTTTTGTTAGTGAAAAGGTGAGTAATGAATTCTATATGCTTATTTATTGCTTTGGAAAGATGTATGCAATCACCAAGCAGTTTCTCTTCAGAAGTTTTTAGAAGTTACTGTTTTGAAGGGAGGGGCTATCTGGTTCCTTACAAATCTTTCACTGTACTTTGGCTTCAGCAGGGAAATGATTATTTTTCTATTGTGTATAATTTAGTGCTCTATTATTTTTCAGTAAAATAACACTTCAGCTAAAGGTATCATATTCATGTAGATCCATATTCTATGGTTTGTGTATATGTATGGACAGCCATTTTTAGGAAATACAAATGAGAAGAGCAGAATACATATACTAATTACATGGAAAGACACAATAATAGTGACATAGTGCTAGGCACTGCTTTTCTTTTTCCTGCTTCAATTAACAGGAAAGACCAACCAGAAACACAAAATAGTTATCTTTTCTTTATAGGATTCAAAGTCGTAACATGCTGGTCAATATAGATAATGTTCATTGGTGTTATGACAGGGATTTTGCAATATATCAGAGATGTTTAACCATACTTTCATATCCATTAAGACATTGTTTCTTGCTGGGTGGTGATGGAGCAAGCTTTTAATCCCAGTACTCAGTAGGCAGAGGTAGGTAGATATCTGTGAGTTTGAAGATAGCCTGGTGTACTGAGCTAGTTCCAGGACAGCCAAAGTGAAACAAAGAAATATTGTCTCAAAAAACCATAAACAACAAAAACAAAAAAAGAATTTGTTTCAGGATCTTTCAGACATAAAGAAATCATGATGGGTCATATCCAATATATAAAATTATTTATCATTTGATTAATATCATAAATCTCTTCTCTCATACTGTGAATGACTCCAGAATTATTTATAAAAGATAATGAAAATTATCACTTTCAAAACTAAATCAAGAACAGATAAGCAATTTAAATAGACCTA